CCTTAGCCAAAGCTCTCTCCAGAACTCCAGACTGTCTTAGTCTGTTCCAGCTGTTGTAACAAAACACCTTAAACTGGGAAGCTTATAAACAACAGAAATTTATTTTGCACAGTTCTGGAGCTGAGAAGTTCCATGATCTGGGATGCCAGCTGGTTTGTTTCCTGGCAAGAGCTCTCTTCCCAGCTTACAGATGGCTGCCTTCTTGTATTTTCACATGGCAGAGAGAGAGAGAGAGAGAGAGAGCGAGCGCGAGCATGCAGGATCTTTGGTCTCTTCTTGCAGACAGCCTCACCATAACCCCATTTAAATCTACTCACGTCTTACAGGCTCCACCTCCAAATACCATCACATTGGGGGTTAGGGCTTCAACATTACATTTCCAGAGGACACAAACATTCACTCCAACAGGTGGAGACAGGGGCAAGGACAGAAAGCCCTAATGTCATGACTTGAACCCCTGAATTCATGCCAAAGTCAAAGAAATTCCTTTGCACAGCCCCATTACCTGAGTGAGTGGATTTCCCCATTTTGCCATAACCCATTGAGTTGGAGTCTTTCTCCAGACACTGAGTGCCGGACTGACAAATACCTCACATGGATGGGTCTCTCCTCCTCTGTGAGTTTCCTAGTAACATAAAATGGATGGCTTACACAACAGAGATTTGCTGTCTCACAGTTTCAGAGGCTGCAAGTCCAAGATCAAGGTGTGAGCAGGGTTGGTTCCTTCCGAGGGCTGAGGGGAACCTGTCCCATGCTCTCTCCTGGCTTCCAGTGGTTTGCTTCAAAGTTCCGGGGCTTACAAAAGCAGCTCCCTGATCTCTGCCTTCATCTTCATGTGGCATTCTCCCTGTGTGTGGGTTTCTGTGTCCAAATTGTCTCTTTTGATAAGGACACTAGTCATATCGGATGAGGGTACATTCTCATCCTAACTAATTACATCTGCAGTGACCCTGTTTCCTAAGAAAGTCACAAGTTGAAATGCTGGGGATTAGGACTTCAACGTATCAATTGGGAAAACACAATCCAACCCATAACATGTCCCATCCCAAGCTGAGCTCCGAACCCGCCTCCGTCACTGTTTATGCCCTACTTCCCATCCTCTTGACTCGGTAGCCCCTGAAGTTCCCAGCTCCAGGAGGAGCTCGACTGCACACAGGTGTGAGCAGATGGCATGTCACCTCACAATCCTACCTCTACAGAAGTGGCACTGTTCACATCGAAGTGTGTTCAGTATGTGTGTGAATGTGTATCCCCAGAACACCGTGTGGAGGTACTAACATTCCACAGGGCAAATGTTTGCCAAGTGGAATATAGGAGCCAATGGATAAATTCTTATCTTTTTTTCCTTCCAGGCAGAACGTCCTGAGATAGTGATCCAAGAGATGGGGCAATCAGCTGTCTCTTAGAAGCAGCCAGCTCAGTGATATATCTTCCAATTAACCGTCACTGCTTCTCTTCTCATTCCTCATGTCTCTCATTCTGTTCCCTGGGATCCTGCTCCCTTTTAAAGGAAAACCCATAAGCCTCTGCTCTGCCCCAGATTCTGGGTTTGGGGGAAACTAGGCCAATGTAGCCACACCATTCTCTTTATGTGGAACCCAACTGTGCCATTTCCCTGCTTAAAACCCATCAGGGCCTCTCCATTGCCCAAAAGTTGAAACTCTCTAGCTAAGAGCCAGAAGACCACTTGGAGACCATCTGGCCAGCTGTCCTCATGCTACAATAATCCAACTCATGGACTTCAGAATATAACCCATTGCATTTCAAGTCTAGCTCTTAATGAAAATATGGACAAAATTATTTCACTTCTATAAGCCTCAGCTTCTTCATCTACCTAATCTTGGGTTTAAGGGAAGGCAGTGTATATAAAGAATCTAGCACAGCATTTGGGACACAAAATACATAACAGTCTGTATTATTGTAGGTGAGGGACAAGAAACCAACTGTGATCTGCTCTAAGTCATGCTGCCAGCTAACAATAGCATCCAACTAGAGACCAGGCATCTACAAAGCCCGATGCCTGCCCTCCACACATAAGAGATTGAAGTATAGCTCTCTGCTGATCAACTGCAAAAGTTTTGAATTCATTTGCACTGCAGATGTATCCTCCACGTGTCCTGCAGATGGGCACTCTGCTGAGCGCCAGACAGCAAGTAAAACATTCAGTTCCTGACGCAGTCCCCGCCTTCACAGTCTTCCACCCTAGTGAGAGAGGAAGCCAAAGTCTGGCAGGCCAGGGGGTGGCAGGTCCTGCTGCGAGGGAAGAGTTTTATTACAGGGTAGTTAAGGAAGTAATCTTCTGATAAAGGTTCACTTAAGGTGAAGGGAAGGAGAGAGAGGGAAAGTTGCTATGGGAGTTACCTTTCCAAGCAGCAAGAGTAGGAAGAACAAAGAGCTGAAGCAGGAGGCGACAGAGAAATCACTGCTTCCCAAGAGAAAGCAAGGGAAGTGTGATGGGAAGTGAGGACGGAGAGGGGCAGAAGTCTGGGGACAGCAGGGCAGGTTGTGATGGTGTAACTTGCTCTGCGAGTGACAGAAAGCCACTGGGGGGGTTCTGAACAGAGGGATGGTAGTGTCTGGCTTTGGTTTCTAAGGATCATTCTGGAAGAGTGAATCCAGAGACGAGCCCAGAGCAGAGATGACAATGGGCTTTGGGGGCAGAGCCAGGGCAGGAGGAGCAGTGAGACTTAGTCATTCTGAACACATTAAGGGCAGGGATTACAGAACCAGCTGATGGATGCAGGATGTGAACAGGAGGTGGATCCCAAAGTCTGTGTCCCAAGCAAATGAAAAGTGGGGCTTGCTTATTCCTGAAAGAGGGGCACCAAGGAAGGAGGTGGGGGAGGCAAATCAGGAGTTTGCTTTTGAACGAGCCAAGTTTGCAATGCCAACTGGATGTCTACTAAATGCACAGCATGCCTGGATGCCCCAGTCTGGAGGTCAGGGAGGCTCACAATTGGAGGTATTAAGGGGTGTTCCCTGCCAGAAGACTGGCTGAGCTCACGCAGGGAAAGAGAGGACCTCTGTGACACCCTGGGGGTGCTCCACGTTCCAAGATCAGGGCAATGAGAGTCCAGGGAGGGAGACAGGGCAGGACTGACCAGTGAGGCAGGGAGAGCTATGGAAAAGCCACACACAGAAACAATCAAGAAGAGAGTGAAGATCACATCAGACAAGACTGGGGATTGGCCGCGGGATTTGGCAGGTCACTGGCAACCTTGGCAACAGCTATATGGATGGACTAGTGAGTACAAAAGAGCATGGGCGAAGAGGAGGTGGATGCCTCAGGATGAGACAGGCTTGGGAGGACTTCATGCCAAAGGGAACAGAGAAAACACGTGATGCTGGAGTGATGCTCTTGAGTAGAAGAGAGTGAGTGAGATCTGGTGAACAATGGGGGTCTACGGGGGACTTTTGTTTTCCTCTGGACACTTTGGCTAAACTGTCACCTCTTCCAGACACCCTCTGTTCCAGCGACCCCATTAAATTCTGAGTCTTTCCTGTGTCACTGTGACTTCTCCAGTGGCTCAGTCCCTATCTAGCTGTTAACCTGGGTTGAGTCACTTAGCCTCAAGAGAAGCAGCACAGTGGTGAATCAGATCACTTCAGTCCCTCCCCCACCCCCGGCCCCCACAACAGCAGTGTCAAATGAGAGTCACAGCCATAGGACTGGACTGTTTCTCTAATGTCAGTGGAAATTCAGGCTCCCCTTTGCTCTCAGATTCCTGGAGAGCTCAGAACTAGTTGTTCTCTTCAGATGAAGTAACTAAGTATCTTCAATACTAATTCTTCGTGCTGTAAATGTTTGTTGAGTGCCTGCTCTGTCCAAAGCTATATGAGAGCTGCAGGAGGGGTGGAAGCTCCCTCAAAGAGCTCACAGCCTTGTGGAGTGGTGAGTGTATCTGTTCAAAACCACGACTGGGTAGGCTCTCGGGCACATCACTGTGTGTCCGTCTTTAGGACCAGTTATTACAATTGCACAAACAAATCAAAGCTCTGAGAGGTGGGATTTTTTTCAGACTTGTTCCCCATGTGCCTGACACACAATAAGCAATCAGTAAAGTTTGCTGAGTGAATGCATGAGGACTGGTACCATTTTCTCTGTGTTTTGAAGGAAGGGTAAGATTTGGAACTATGTAGACTAGGGAGGGAGGCATTACAGACTGGCAGGGGTGGAGTGGGTGGAGGGGGACCGCAGGAGCGAATGTACAGAGATGGTGAGGCCCAAGCCATGCTGGGTAAGTGTAGGCCCGCTGTGACTGAGCTGCCAAAGGCCTAGAAGGGTGAGCTGGGGGTTATATGCATAATTATAATTATGTATGTATGCATATATGTATATAATTATGCATATAAAAGCTGGAAAGAACTCCCCCAAATTTAAACAGTGATTATCTTTGAGTGGTGGAACTACCAATGATTTCCTTTTTTTTTCCTTCATTTCATTTTTGTACATATTGCCTATTTTCAAGAATGGATATGTTTACTTTACAATGAGCAAAATAAGTCAACGTTCTTTAAAAAGGAAGGACTAGCCTTAGTCAGGATTTAAGCTCTGACTGCTGGGATGCAATTAGCTTTTCACCCTCTGAGGGTTCCTGGTCAGTCTTTGCAGTGTGAGTCTCCTATTGTAGCCATGATACTTCTCTGTAAGGTGGGTTCCTCCCATCACAGTTGGCAGCGAGTCCATTTGCTGGGTGAGACAGCAGCCCCTCTGGGAGCTAGAGAGAGATACTGAGAGGTGCTGGCTTTTGCTGGAACAGTTTCTAAACTCCTAAGCAGCTGTCAAAAATGATAGCCAGCAAGATGGAAAACGGTTGATGATACTGTTTTAAGTGAAATGGAGCAGACTACAAAGGGGCGTGTTCACTACGCATGTTAACTATGCAAACTATGCACTTGGCAAACATTTATTGAAGAAATGAAAAGATTCCACAAGAAATATGACCCCATGCAAATATGACCCCACCACCCGCAGCCAGTGATGAGATAAACAACCAAAACTGAAGGCACCTTTTGAGCAATAACAATTTTAAAGTCATGTCTCCAGAACTCAAATTGCTAAAGCTCCACTCTAGATCCCAGAATGGGCGTCTGCAGTTGCTTGCCTGATGACTCTAGGCTCCAGGGCAACCTGTTTCTTAAAGAAAAGCTTCTCACATTTTAATGTGTATACAGTTAAGCTGCAGATCTTGATAAAATGTGGGTTCTGATTCAATAGGTCTGGGGTGGCAACAAGGACTCTGTGCATCCAATGAGCTCAGGTGATGCTAAGCTGCTGGTCTTTGGACCACACTTTAGATAGTAAGTTCCCAGGGCGCTGGGTAATCAAGCAACCCTAAGGTCGTTAGGACCTGGAAAAAGGATGCAGCCGTCCAGTCAACCTAAGCAAAGTGAGGGAAGCACAGAAGACATGTAGTGAGGCTTCCACCTACTACCCCATTTCCTAACACTAAGCACCTGTGCCAGATGCCCGCCCTGCCCCCCATCCTCAAGCATACTAGCACCCTCAATCATCCTTGTCCCCAGGCATCTTGGACCATTGAGATTAGTAATGAGAAGAAAACTCCAAGCACTTGTGTGGGCTCAGAAGGGAGCCTAAGGCCCCCAATTCCTTAGGGAGTTTGGACAATGATGTCTTGCTGGGATAGGTCTAAGAGCCAGGGCTTTGTTGGCAGGTGCTCACTTGGAGCAGCCAGCAGCAGATGGCACCAGAGGACAAGCACAAGCTATGTCCCAGAGTGTGGCTCAAGAAATCTGCCCAAAAATCCAGGGTAAAAGGGAACAAAGGAACTGAATGGGAGATGTGACCAAAAGCAGGAACAGCTCCAGGAAGGGAGCTGGTGGCTCAAAGAGCACTTGTCTTGGGTTGTGGATGCTCAGGTCAGGGGTGAGGACCAGAGAGACAGTCAGATGTGGCTGTTCAATCTGCCACTAGCTGACACTTTGCCAGATGTCCTGTGAGACTCCCAAGGGCTCTGGCATTTGAATACCCTGCCCTGGGAGACCATGCTGGGACCATGGCACACTCCACTGGAGGGTGGGTCTGAACAGACAAAGCCAAGCTGAGGTATCCTATGTAAGACCACTGAGGAGCAACCTTGACACTTCCTTTCCTGCAAGAACAGGTCCATACCCCAATGAAGACTTGGACCTGGTTCAGCATCCAGGGGACTTGGCCACGACCTGTAAGGTAAAATATTCACACTCATTGGAGCCCTTTCTCCATTCTCCCTGTATGGCTGGGGGACCCCTGCTCCTTTCATCCAGTGCCCTCTTAAGTCTGACTTCTAGGACTTCTTGTCCCTGCTCCTACGGAAGGCCACTATGATGCCCAATGTCCTGGGACATTGGAAAAAGAATTTTGGTACATCACCCAGGGCAAGTTGCTCAGTGGTCAGAGCATGTAAGGAAGAAGGTTGCAGTCATGGCCTGGAGTTGTGGAGGCCTCTGTAGTGGGTCCACAGTGGGGTGAGCCACAAAGTCTCTGTCCGGCGGCCATGTCCATAGGCCCTGGGAGGAAGGATGCTCAGGTGAGAGACTGGTTGCCACAGCCTGAGCCCTTAGTCCTTCCCACGCTAGATCATAGCACAGGGAGCCTGTCCTTGGTCAGACACGCAGCAGTGAGTGGCACCTTTACCGTCAATCCATCACAGAAAGCTTTTCTGGAGCTCTTTTCCTGCACCCAGGCCTGTCCCGGAAAGGCATGAAGAACACAAGCTCTATGACAACATGATGTCACCCTCAAGGTGCTCACAGCCACATCAAGGAGAGACAGTTGCAGGCTTATTTCCATATTAGGTGGCAAATTCAGTGAGAGGGAAAAAGGATGGAATAGGATGTGAATTCTGGAATTCCTGCTGCAGAGAAGCACAAGGATCCAAGTCTCCTGGGATCTGATCTCTTCAGCTGGATGTGCTAATAATGTCACAGAGACCCCACTGCTTGCAGCCATATAATTCTTTACCCTTACAAAGTTCATCCACACTCATCATCTCTTTTTGAAGTCGGATCAAAGTCCAGAGTTCTGACCCCAAGCGCTCCTTCCCTCAGTACACAGCAGCCTCAAGATCATCCTGGCACATGTGAACTCCCTGGGTTCCCAGGCCCGGCATCTGTTGCTGAATTATCAGAATGACCCTGCCTGTTACCAGCAGACATCTCCGGCTCTGGAATCTTGCAGCTCCAGCTGAAAGATTCATGTGACCTGCAGAATCTAAACTCAGAATTCTGCCCGGAACAAATGGCTGAATGTTAGGCCTCGTGACGCAAATGGATGCAAAAATGGGCTCTTGCCAACCTATCTGGGCCCCAGAAAGCCAGTGATGACAGGGGATGCCACCCCAGTCAGCAGCATGCCCCCTTAGTTAAGTGAAAGAGCCTGGCAAGGAATGTGGCAAGGAGAAGCCTTAGACCTGGTTAAATGGGGTTGGACTTGCCACTTAGCCTCAAAGACCCCTTGGAGACTTCCGTGTGCACCGTGGACAGGGGCACATGCTCAGACTCTTCCATGGGGGGGCTGTGCTGGCAAGTCAGCACCAGGGCCTTGACCTCCTTCTTGAAGTTGGTGTTGAGAAAGCCATAGATGAAAGGGTTGACACAGGTGGAGGCCATGGCAAGCAGGTGGCACACTAAGAAGATGAGGTTGCCATGGCAGACAGGGATGGCCTCGGGGTGCCAGTCCTCCAGGCTGTTGAATACGTGCAAGGGAAGCCAGAGCACTGCGAAGGCAGCCACCATGGCCACGAGCACCCCGTTGACGCGCTTCATCTGCCCGGTTCGCGAGCTATAAGCTCCCTTGCGGAACACGCGCCCCTGCTTCTGCAGACGCAGGTAGATGCGCACGTAGCAGACCAGGATGAAGGCCAGCGGGAGGCAGTACTGGAAAAGCAGCAGGAAGGTGGTGTAGACAACACGGTGGTAGTCCAGGGGCCAGGACTCAGTACAGACCACCTTATCCGCCAGAAACTCCAGAGCCTTGGAGTGGTTCTTGTGGAAGACATTCTCCAGGATGCTGTGGGCCAGGAAGGGCAGGGAGAGGGAGCAGGCAATGAGCCAGGTGAGCATAATCCCCAGGTAGGCCTGCAGGATGCTGGGCTTCCAGCCTGTTGGGTTGATGATGAGCTGATGCCTCTCCAGGGCCACAAGGACGAGAGAGAGAATGGAGACTGTTACCGACATGCACTGGATAAAGGCCGACATCTTGCAGAGGGCCTCACCAAAGACCCAGTAGTCCATGATGGTATAGATGGCTGTGAGCGGCTGGCAGATGAGGCACATGAGGAAATCGGAGAAGGCCAGGTTTGCAATAAGCAAGTTGGTCACATTGGTCTTCTCCTTCTGCCTCATGGTCACGCAAATCAGGCAGAGGTTACCCAGGACCCCCACGATGGTCTCGATGGTATAGGAAGTGACGATGAAGACCATCAGGTCCATGGAATCCTGGCAGTGGTCAGAGAAGTTGTACAGGATGCCCTTTTGCTTGCTCCTGTTTTCATCCTGTAGGGATCCTAGAAAAAGTGAGGCCAGGAGGTAAGAGGTGTTCATGGTGGATATGAGAAGACTCTGGGAGCTCTTGAATGAAGGGGCACACTTCAGGGATAACACCTGCAAGGAAAACAGAAAAATAGTACTCAGGAATTGAGCAAAACTCCAGTGTAGGATCCAAGGAGGAGCAGGGGCTAGCTAGAAAGGTTCTCAGCTGTTTCCATTCCAAGGCTGGGACCTGGCAGAGCTATTACCTAAAGTTCACGGTAAGACATTGGCATCTAGTAATTGTGACCTTGTGAGAAGCACTCGCTGCATGCCAGGCACTATGCTCGGTGCTTTGTATCTATAGCTAGTGATTCGGTGTTATCAACCAATTTGATAGATGAGGAATCTCAGAGTCAGAGACGGAAAGCAACTTGCCCATAGTCACACAGCTAAGTAATGGGGCCCAGATACAAACAGAGGTCTCTCTGATGCCAGAACTCATTCCACAAACTAGGACCTCAAGATTTGTGGTTTGATGATAAAGAGGTTGGAGTGTTGTATCTTGAGTTTAAGGTAAGAATTGTTCAGGAAGTAACTGTGTCCATATCTTTCGAATGGAGACAGCAGTAAATGCTGCTGTGCACAGTGACGGCTACATCCCTCCAAGGTACCCCATGCCCTTCTGCATAGGACTAAAACCTCAGGGCTTGACACTCAGTGCCCCCTCCTGCTCTTTGCCTCTCTCTCCCTACCAGCCTTGTTTCTCAGGTGACATATGGCAGGTTGAAGACTGTCAGGTATTCAAAGACTGGCACATCAGCACACACGCTTCCTCCTCCTGCCCACTGTGTGCACATCACACCTGGCCAAGGCCACGGTGCTCACTGCCCTCCCTAGAGCCCACTCCGTGCCTGTGCTCAAGGCGGCTGATGCAGTTCGCAGCTCCCAAACACACCAGACTGTCCCACACCTCCATGCGCTGGGACAGCAGTCACTTCCCCAGAACCTTCCCAGCACAGGGATGCCCTGCCAAGATTGAATTGGAATTTTCGCTCCAGAGCCTGCAGGTGGTGGTGCCGGTGATGGATATATTGCAGAGAGAGCGGCCAGATCACTACCCACATCACTGTGACTTAGATCACAGGTTCTCTAGTCCGTATTCCCATAAGGTCATAGTCCTCAACCTTCAGTAAACATGGGAATTCTGAGAGTATGTTAAAAGTACACTTTCCAGGACTCCTCCCCAGGAGATGTATTTAAGTGACTCCAGGATGGGACTCTATATGATTCTGATGCACATGGCCTTTGACCCATTCTGAGAATCACTGCTCAGACAGAATGAGATATTTGAGATACTTTCTTTGAGTCTCATCTAATAGCTATGCCTATTTTTGAACATACATATTTTCTTCATGATTGAGTGTTCATTTAAAGGCAGTTTTTACAGAGTAAGGCCAAAATTCAGCAGAGCTAAGTAAAATCTATTTGTCAGCTGCCATAAATGTCACTCCTCGAGTATTTGATCTGACTCACAAAGATGAATCTTATATGGCCATTTACAAGATCAAGTCATGAATTCTCCTGATAGTTTATAATCTGGTTTTTTAAGCTACCAGATCTCAGAGGCAGGAGAGTTTTTCCAGCCCTATAGTCTTCTGGTAAATCGGACCATTTGGGGCTGCACGTGACAAAATGAAGCATATCAGGGCCAAACACAAACAGGTCCAGTATGAGACAAAAAGCAGCCACAGCTGCATAAAACTGTAGCAGACACACTGGACTCAGAAGCAGCAAATGGGCCAGAAACTCAAAGATTTGGCTGAACATCCTCAGGGCCCAGGGTACAGAGCAACACCATTAATTCCAGATCGATCAACTACAGCATGATCAGAGCAGAGTGACTAGACAGGGTGGGCTCCAGAAGACACCTGCTGCTTCCTTCATTGTCTACTTAGAACGTGTGCCAAGCATCAGGCTAAAGACAAGAGCTACAAAGATGACTTATACAGCTGTGGCCCTCCCTGACTAGAAGGGCTAACCACCACAAGCAGAGATGGACCTCTCTGCACACAATGCAATGACCAAAACCAATATGGATAGGATGCCTGTGAGCTGGAGAAAAAGAATGAGAAGAGAGCAGAGGGATGAGAAAAGAGATAGGGCTCAAAGGTTGAAGAGGAGTCCACCAGCATAATGGATAAGAGTGGAAAGAACTCAAGGTTCTGGAAACAGCATATGCAAAGGCACAGGGGCAGGAAAGAGCAGCCTCCTGAGAACATCAAGCTGCTGAGAATAATTGGATCCAGGTTGGGTAGGAGGGAGTGGCAAATGGTGAGGCCTGAAATAAGGGCCAGACCAGCAAGCTCAAGTCCATTCCAGAAAGATCACTCTGGGCACAGAGAATGCATTAGGGGAAGGGAGCTGAGACAGGAGTGAGCACTGGAGAAGGTGGTGTTGGGGGCTTGCCTTCTCACAGAACCAGCAGAGACTAACACAAGGATGGTTACAGTGGGCCAGAACACCCACACCAACACTGCAGACTAGACCACATGCAGGGTTGGGCCCAAATCAGCTCCTCCTGCAGCTTCTGGGAACAGGGCAAAGGGAAGTGCCAGGGGTGGGCGAGCAGGAAGATCACAGTGTAGGGGGCAGGAAAGAAGTGGAATTGCTGGCTGGCCCTTGCTTTCCCCAGGGGTGCTGAGGCTGGGGGAGACAGAGAAAGGGGCCAACTGGGATGAGACTCCACAAGCCCCTGCCTGAGGGACCCTCAGTGTGCAGGGACTGAGGATTTCCAGGCACAAACTGCAGAGGCAAGACAGCAGTAATTCAAATTCCTGAGCCCAAGTCAGGA